GATAATTATGTGGGCCTAACAGTGCCTCAACGGCCAGTCAACTGGCGTTTCAACGCTATAGGTGTCGGAGAGAGCACCGGCTTCTCTATAATGGATGAATTTGTTTACGTAAGACATAAATCTAATTATAATTCAGTTGTTTGAATAACTTTAAACAGTGTTAATATGATATTAAAATGCAGTGGAATAGTGTCCGTCCGTTCTTCATCACAGTGGAGGCCCCGTCTGTTGTGGTCTTAGGGGAACAGTTGGGTATAAGAGTGGCCGCATTTAACTATCAGCCCTACGAGATTAGAGTGAGTGATGGTTTGATTAATACATGGTATCAATGAATAAAATTTGACGAGTTTTCCAATTTTCAAAGGCGGACATCATATTAGAAGAATCACTGGATTATCGTTTCGTCGAAGTGGGACCTATGGGTCGGGTGTCCTCTTATTCGCCCAAAACATCGGGTGGTGTTCATCAACACCTCATTTATATCAAACCTCATTCATCATTCTTAGTGCCCATACCTGTTGTGCCAACCACTAGAGGAAAGATCAAGATTATCATCACTGGTCGCACACAAGTGGCTAAAGTAAGCATTAGTTGTATTAGTTATAGGAATAGTGTTTTATTAATAAGTTTACGTTAGGATCAAAAAGTGATAGAAGTGGAAGTGTTGGCCGACGGCGCACAGGTCTCTCTGCACACATCCATGCTTTTGGATCTGAGAGCGCAGTCGTATATTATTAAATACTTGGACATGAATGTGACCGAAGATCCCATTATTCCATACCAAGACATATACCGTCGATATATGTTTGGTTCGCCAAAAGCGTGGGTAACAGTGATCGGGGATGTGGTGGGAGTGCCCGCCAAACTCAACCCCAGAATTGATTTCACAAACTTAGGCATCAAATATACGGCAAAGTCAGGAGAGTTGAGACTTTTTGACTTCGCGTACCGACTCTATACACTCATATACCTAAGACTGACCAATCAGTTGGAGGACAGCGACAAACAGGAACTGTCCAAACAAATACTCGAAGAATTGAATCGCGATTACGTCCACCAAATGACTTTCTATAGGGACGGGTCGTTCGTAATGTTTGACATGAGTTATACGCAAAGCTCGGTATGGCTGACGGCATACGCGGCCAGAGTCTACTTCGACGCCCAGTTCGACGATTGGCATAATTTCATTTACATCGACCCAAACGTTATTTACCATTCAATTGAATACATCCTTAAGCGTCAGATTATAGACGTTCGGAGCTATGATGAGGGCTCCTTCTATGAAGACATGACATTTAGGAACTGGTCGTCACCCCGTCTGACGCCCGTCGCTCTCACGGCCCACGTGTTGATAACGTTAGTCAAAGTTACCGATTTGGGTGTTTACGGCGATTTAGGCGTTAAAATATCCAACGCCAAGAAATCGGCGGTTAATTTCTTGGAGAGACGCCTCCAAACCATTACATCTCCCTATGAGATAGCGATCGCAACCTATGCACTGATGAGCGCCGGCAGTCCGGACGCGAAGTTTGGTTTTAATCAATTGGAGTCAATGAAGAGATCTACCGAAGGAATGATCTATTGGTCTGCCGTCGAGATAAAAGTGAGACTAAAAGCATTTGTAANAAAGCATTTGTAAAATGATTTAAAACAATGGTTTGTTATTTATGACGAATAGCCTCCGGGTCTCATATACCAGAGTCAGAGACCATTTATTCAGCCCCGGAATCCGCAGTCTTACGAATCGCTTGCAGTTGAGGGTCAGTAAGAATTTAATGTTATAATGAATGCTATAATAAATATAATTTATATTTCATTCATATTATTACACGCTTTAGGAACCGCTTATGCGTTAATGATTTACACGGGTTTCGGTGGTATAATTCAGGATCAAATCGTCAAATGGTTGACTTATATGAGACAATACGACGAGGGATTTGTTACAACATTTGACACTATAGTTGCGGTTCAGGCGCTCACAGACTATTCGTTCCGAACTCACGTCCGATCCATAACTAATATGAGACTCGAAGTGGAGGCCTCTTCTAATCCAGAGATTACCACAAGTATAGGCATATCGCAGAACAATCTGACGAATCAGCAAATCATAAACATTGAGCCAAACGTATGGGGATTCGTGTCGGTGACGGCCAAAGGCGCGGGTCTGGCGATCGTTCAGTTGACCACTCAATACAATGTCGACCAAGAATTCCAATTACTGCAGCCGTCGGTCAACGCGTTTGACATCAGCGTTGACCTCAAGTTTTCGGGTCGAAACAAATCGCGAGTAGCGGTCA